TCATTTTGTTATTTCTTGCTTTTCTTTGAATTTGTAGGTTTTTCTGCTTGCTTTCTGCCTCTCCTGTGCTAATCACTGGATAATTAATGAGGGTTGGTAACCAATTTGGGATTGGGTCTGGCCAGGACAGAGCGAGCAGGGTCAGCTCTGATCGTTGCAGGCCTGGAGCCACCAAARCTCTGGGACGGGAGGCAGCTGATGGCAGCTCAGGGATTTGGGATGTTCCACATTTCCATGGGATGTGGGGAGATGAGAAATAGTGACACATCCCAGAAAGAATCACCACGGAATTACGAGAGAGTTCTCCTTGCTGGGGCATCGTAGAATCATGGAGAGGTTTGGGGTGAAATCCCATCCCATTCCATCCCAGTTATGGCAGGGACACCACCCACCATCCCAGGCTGCTCCCAGCCCCAATTCCAGCCTGGCCTTGGACATTTCCAGGGATCCAGGAGCAGCCACAGCTTCCCTGGGAATCCATCCCAGGAATTCCCTCCCAATATCCCATCCAAACCTCCTCCCTTCCATCTCTCCTCCCTTCCCTATGTCCTGTCACTCCACATGACACCTACACAGCCCATATGTTTAGGATTTCCTGATTTCCCACCTGCAGACAATCCCTGACATTCCATAATCCCTCCCACCCTCTCAGGGTGGAATTCAGCCATTCCATTAAAAGTGCACATCCCTGTGAACATTTCCGGAACGCTGCTGCGAGGGAGCTTTTAATAAATCCACTCCCAATAGCTGTGAATGCTAATAGAAATAATCAATTCAGCACTTAACACTTCCATCACGAGACGTATTTTTAGACTATTACTGATAGCCATGGTATAAAAACAGAAGCCTGTTCTGTTCTGTGCTTTTTTTTAAGGGAAACAGTGCCAGAAACAAGTAAAGAATTTATGTTTTTTCTTGTTGTTTGCTTACTCCATCTCAGACTAAAATAATAACACAGAAGCTCCGCTTTGGCTCCGCTGTTGTCTGGATGAGTGTTTAGAGCATCAGGCTGGCAACGAGGTAAATATTTAGTGATTACTTGGATTCCCTTCAGTGGTGATATCCTCTGAATTTAATTTTTTAGAGGATATTTGAAACCACTTCTGTATCTTCAAATCCCCATTTAAATTTTGCTCCGTCGCATCTTGCTATTATTATTTTCCAGTTTTTCTTCTTGGAAACCAGGATGAGAAAGCCACGAGTTTTTGTTTTCTGGAGGTTTCTAAACTTCTTCCTCCACACAGAAACACAGATGTGAGTGCGTGATTTTAATTAGGAGAGGTTAATATCCAGGGCAGCTAAATTGCCTTGCACAAGGAAAYGACTCTTGCAGCAATCAGTGATTCCCTCTGCAGCCCCATCCACMTCTTGATCCCAACCCTTCATTCCAAACACGTGACCTGTGGCACTGGGAGAGCTGGACAATCCACGGTTTGTCCGAGCACATTTCGAGGCAGTGTGGGCTGTTCCAGTTTCATGTAAGGATTTTAAATCTATTTAACAGTCCTGGCAGTGCCTGGGATGAATTCCACCAGTTTGAGATGCTTTCATGCCTGGAATAATGGTCCAGCTGGACAAAGACACACTCAGCCCATGGAGCAGAGCAAAAACTCAGAAGTTCAAGGAGGAAAACTCCTCCAGAAGGAACTAATTGTCCAAAACCACAATTTTGGTGAAGCCCAGTTGTCCAAAAGCAAGGAACCTTCGGGTGAAAAGCAAATCACACCTTTGGTTGGAAATTTGTCATGGAAAAAAGGAAAAAAAAAAACCTTTTATTCAGATTTGGCCTTTCAGTGATTGAAGGGGAGTTGTAAAGAGATGGAGAGGGACTTTTCACAGAACAAGGGGGAATGGATTCAGACTGAAAGAGAGGGGTTGAGATGGGATATTGGGAATTCCTGGCTGGAAGGGTGGGGAGGGGCTGGGATGGAATTCCCAGAGAAGTTGTGGGTGCCCCTGGAAGTGCCCAAGACCAGGCTGGAATTGGGGCTTGGAGCAGCCTGGGACAGCAGGAGGATGGGATGGGATGGGAT